TTAATTATTATTTAGTTTATACGAAAATATCTAGATATTTGTAACGTTTACACGTAGCTTTTAAAATTCTGGGGGTGGGGGGGGGGACCGAGGCCCCCCCGAGAGCCTACCTAGCTCCGCCTCTGGACTGATACAATTTTTTTATTTATTTTGCATAATGTTTCTAGAACAACAACTGTTAGGACTTTGCTATGACGCCTCACACGTTATCGTACCTTAGAGAAAATGGAATATCGCTTTTGACAAATGGCCGATCTCTTCCGACAATCGATTGACGGGATGAACTATTGCTAGTGAAATTGACGTATTTGATTATAGATGTTAATGGATATGTAAGAGAGCTGAAGTAAGTACAAAATTTGGAGCATACATGAGAAAATTTATCAGGTGGTTGTTCTCCTGTAAATTTGGAAACTGCTCTACAAGTTTGTTTCTTAGATTTGACTTACTAAACACATGCTTTCATCTTTCCTTCAAATTATACTTTTGTTTTTGTTTTTAATTTTATAATTGTCTTGTAATGTAGAGTTTTCATGCTATTGTTGTTGAAGATAGACTTAAAAAGTACGGTGTCATTGTTGTACAATTGTCTCATCTTCAAAGTCGAGAAATATCTTATCATATTTATTTTGCAGGTACTTATTCCAAAAGTATTAAAAGATGTGTTATTTTTGTTCTATATAGGCTGATTTCGTAGAGATTTAGTTGCTCATGGGTGAGAAAATGTTGCATTACTCCATAGCAATTTAATATTATAGGCCCCTGTTAATTGATTATAGGCGTTCAATTAATGATAATGGATATGGTTGTTGGTAAGAGAGTTGAAGTGAGTACGAAGCTTGGAGTATTCATAAGAAGTTTCTCACGTGATTGTTCTCCTAGAAATTTGGAAGTTGCTTTGTAGAGTTTTTTTTTTTAAAATTGGACTTACTTTGTAAAGGCTTTCATCTTCCCTTCAAAGGGTAAATGCCAAGTTTGGTCACTGGGTTTATTAAAATGTGTCATGTTTAGTCACTGAAAAAAATTAATATCAATGTCGGTCACTCGAATTAGTAAAACGGTCCACGTTTAGTCACTCTTTGTTAGTCTCCGTTAACACCGTTGGTCAATTGTTTAAGTGGCTAACATAAATGCCTAATCATCCTTTTTTAACCTGTCACATCACCAAACCCGAACCGCCACATCACTCAACCTCTCATGTAATTTTTCTAAACCCAATCCTTAAACCCAACCAATCCATGATCTGACCCCTCTATCCCTCTCTCCTCTTCGCCTGTCCCTCTCTCCTCTTCAACCCCACATCAAAATCCTCTCCTTTAATTATTCTTCTCCCTCCCAAGTCCAACTCGCCAATTCTGCACCACCCTGACTAATATAGTCATTGTTGACCACTATTATTACGCCCTTGCTTTGCTTGCGTGCTCCACCATTCTCTCCCGACAAAAAACACCAGAATCTATCTCTCTCTCTCTCTCTCTCTCTCTCTCTCTCTCTCTCTCTCCCGAACTCTTCAAACCCACCGTCGGTGAGGGTTTCCATATCTGTTGCTGACTTTTTTCCCCACGATGGATGCTGACCACCGGCGAAAGCTGAAGAGAGCCAACCATGGTGGGACCAATGCTTTCAAGCTCATCCTCTCGTTCAGGTCTCTCACTCTTGGCATAATATTGCTCCTCTTCACTCTCTTCTACTTCTATGGCTCAGATCACTCTCCCATCCAACCGATCCTCTAGGTCTTGGGTTTTACCCAAGTCATCCCCGTCCTCCTCACCCAGGATTACTTCGACAACAAGTCGCTTCCTCTGGTCCTCGAGAGCCGGGTTTTGCTCCCCGATCACCTACGGCTTGTACTGTCCAATCGCGTCCGTAGACGGGGGAAAGAGAGAGAGGAACAGGCAAAGAGGAGAGAGAGGGATAAAGGGGCCAGTTCATAGGCTGGTTGAGTTTAAGGATTAGGTTGGGAAAGATGACATGACGGGCTGGGTTTGATGATGTGGTGGGTTAAAAAAGGGTGATTCAGCACTTATGTTAGCCACTTAAGTAATTGACTGACAGTGTTAACGGAGACTAACATAGAGTGACTAAACGTGGACCATTTTACTAATTTGAGTGACCAAAATTGATATTAATTTTTTCTAGTGCTGAACATGACACATTTTAATAAACCCAGTGACCAAACTTGGCATTTACCCTTCCTAATTATACTTATATTTGTGTTTGTAATTTTATAATTATCTTGTAATGTAGAGCATTCGTGCTATTGTTGTTGAAAATAGATTTAAAAAGTAGGGTGTCAATGTTGTACAATTGTCTCATCTTCAAAGTCAAAAAATATCTTATCATCTTTATTTTGCAAGTACTTATTCCAAAAGTTTTAAAAGATGTGTTATTCCGTTCTATATAGGCCAATTTCGTAGAGATTTAGTTTCTCATGGGTGACAAAATGTTGCATTACTCCGTAGCAATTTAATATTATGGCCCCCTATTAATTTGATTATAGGCGTCCAATTAATGTTAATGGGTATGGTTGTTGGTAAGAGAGTTGAAGTGAGTATGAAGCTTGGAGTATTCATAAGAAGTTTCTCAGGTTATTTTTAGACTGGACTTACTCTGTAGAGGCTTTCATCTTTCCTACAAAGGTAAATGTCAAGTTTGGTCACTGGGTTTATTAAAATGTGTCGCGTTTAGTCACTGGAAAAAATTAATATCAATGTCGGCCACTCAAATTAGTAAAACGGTTCACGTTTAGTCACTCTTTGTTAGTCTTCATTAACACCGTCTATCAATTGTTTAAGTGGCTAACAGAAATGCCGAATCATCCTTTTTTAACCCGTCACATCACCAAACCCGACCCGCCATGTAATCTTTCCCAATCAATATATAATCTGACCCCTCTATCCCACCTTCTCCTCTTCGCCTGTCCCTCTCTCCTCTTTAACCCCACATCAAAATCCTATCCTTTAATTATTCTTCTCCCTCCCAAGTCCAACTCGCCAATTCCGCATCACCCTCATAAATATAGTCATTGTTGACTACTATTACTACGCCCTTGCTTTGCTTGCGTGCTCCACCATTCTCTCCTGGAAAAAACCCCCAAAATCTATCTTTCTCTCTCTCTCTCTCTCTCTCTCTCTCTCTCCCGAACTCTTCGAAAAGCCACCGTCAGGGACTGTTTCTAGATCTGTTGCTGGCTTTTTTTTTTTGGCGAAGAAGGCTGACCACCAGCGAAAGCGAAAGAGAGTTAACCATGGTGGGATCAACGCTTTGAAGCTCATCCTCTTGTTCAGGTCTCTCACTCTTGGCATAATATTGTTCCTCTTCACTCTCTTCTACTTCTATGGCTCAGATCGATCTCCCCTCCAACCGATCCTCTGGGTCTCGGGTTTTACCCAAATCCTCCCCGTCCTCCTCACCCAGGACTACTTCGGCAGCACGTCGCTTCCTCTAGTCCTCGAGAGCGGGTTCTGCTCCCCGACCACCTATTGCTTGTACTGTCCAACCGAATCCGTAGATGGAGGGGGGGGGGAGAGAGAGAGGGAGAGGGATAAAGGGGTCAGTTCATAGGTTGGTTGAGTTTAAGGATTGTGGGATTGGGTTGGGAAAAATGACATGGCGGGTCGAGTTTGATGATGTGGCGGGTTAAAAAAGGGTGATTCAGCACTTATGTTAGCCACTTAAGTAATTGACTGATAGTGTTAACGGAGACTAATAGAGAGTGACTAAACGTGGACCATTTTACTAATTCGAGTGACCAAAATTGATATTAATTTTTTCAAGTGCTGAACATATCACATTTTAGTAAATCCAGTGACCAAACTTGGCATTTACCCTTCCTTCAAATTATACTTTTATTTGTGTTTGTAATTTTATAATTGTCTTGTGTTGGAGCAGCTTTCATGTTGTTGTTGTCATGAAGAGACTTAAAAAGTAGGGTATTATTGTTGTACAATTGTATCATCTTCGAAGGTAAGAAATCTCTTATCATCTTCCTTTTGCAGGTTCTTATTCCAAAAGTGTGTAAAAGATTTGATTATTTAAGCTGCATTACTACAAAGCAATTTCATATTATAGACCCCTATTTTTGGTTATTTTCTGAGTGTAAGTAGAAGGTATATGTATCACTCGGTCGATCAATTTTCAAAAGTGGTCAACCATTTGTCGCAAGAGGTCGATCGTTTCTCATGAGCATTCTACTGTTTTCTCCAAAGTCAAAGTGAATTTTTTTTTATCATTTGGTCGACCGTGACATATAAGTTGTCGACCGAATTATGGATGCGGTCGACCGAATTATGGATGCGATCGATCGTTTTGTCCTAATCACGGTGACTTCAACGTCACCATAAGCATACTCCAACTTTTATCAGAATATAATTTTCATAATATATGCTGAAAAGTGAAAAGCAACACTCAAATTATCCTCAAACTCTCTAAAATCCATCTTCAGATAGGTTGAAACTTCATATGGTTGTAACTTTATGCTCGTTAATTCGAGGTCTACACGGAGCTGAAGGCAGTTTGATCCGTCTTTGTCTCCAAATAAGGCCACTTCCTGCCCAAACGAGCCATTTTGTGATTTTCTATACTTTTGATAGTCGTATTTTTATGTTCTATTGTCCTTTCATTGTTTTTATTATTTGATATAATTTTTCAAGGATTGAAATTTTATTATGTGACATTTTTCAAAATAGGGAATCCTTTTGAAATTTAGAATTTTTGATGATAATTTTAAATTTAATTTTCACCTTTTAACATATACATTGATAATATATCATGGACAAAATTTGTAGTTGTTGAAAATTTGTGCAAAATAAAAAATTTGCCCAGATCGTACATAAAAACACAAAATTACTACCATTGAAGATTTAGAAACATCTCAAATAACTCATTTGGAAATGCAAACTACCTTATCTTGATATGAAGGCGGACCAACAATTTGCTATATATTTTTTTTTAGAGTTAAACTGATGGGGTTCGTTGAGATGCAAGCTACCTCAAGGGCTATAACATCAGAAATAACCAATGGGAAACAGTCATCCCAAAAAAGGACATCCTCAGAATCTGTTGTAATATGGGCCACATCGTTTGCTTCACGAAAGGTAAACACCCAATCTCGGATACCCAGATCCTCGGCCATCTTCAGAACATCAGCACAAATGCTCCCAACTTCAGTTCTGCAGCTTTTAGCTTCCTTCATCATAGAGATCACCTTTTACAATCCGATTCGACCATAACTGGACCAGCTCCCCTATCGACTACCATTTGTAATCCGAAAAGCATTGACATCCCTTCAGCAAGATCCAGAGGCCATTTAACCTTAATTCTCTTATTTGCAGCTGATTCGGGTCGTAATGTACACTTTTTATCCTCGTTTCTCTTTGGCGTTTGTGGCATTTGAGCTCCTAAAAGGGTGGTTTCAGAGTCTAACAGGTGAAACCAACCCCGAAGTCGGAAGTTGGAAGAAAAGGCGCAAAGACCGGGCAAAGAGGAGGATCTAGCAGCAGTCAGTTCCTCTATTTCCCCTATCTTTGTCTCTCACTCTCTGTTTGTGCACAGGTATAGGGTATTATGGGACCTAACAACTGATTGGATCAAGCATGAGTATGAATTCATAATTTGATTGGTTTATTTGAATCCGGAATGCATTTCGTGGTAGTTTCATGATTTGTTTGCTGCTTTGTTTGCTTGAGCTTAAGACTGTTGTTCGATTAGTGTGACACCCCTTTATATGGCCAGATTGATATGCTTTTGGTTTACGAATCTGAATGAGCTCTTCTGTTTGTTTACTTCAACTTCTATTGTATTTGACTTGACGATCTTTTCACCCTTATATGGCAGGGACTGCTTATAGTTTCCATCCTTGAACCATCATGTTGTGCTAAGGTGCATAGAGAGAAGGTGCCCCAAGCACTAGGCTAAGGTAATATAAGAGGAATGTCTTTAATTTTGAGCTTTAGTGACATGGTGTAAGTGAACTGGTTCCTAATGTTATGTTATCTACCCTCTGCGGATCATTTTCTAGTTCATCTCACGCTATGCTTCCATCTGGACTATCTGCCTATTAAGGGAAGGACAGTTTCTTTACGCACAGATAGTAGAATGAGCAAAAATAGGATTTAGCTTAAGGTTAGGTTCTGTGATGAATATCAAAAGGGGGTTTCTGAGTTCATAGGGATTGTCTCCAAACATGTTGATACACTAGGTAGAACTAGATGTCCTTTTAAAAGGTGCAATAATTGACACTTCAAGAAATTGGAGATTGTGGAAGCTGAAATAACTAGGAATGGCATGGTGGAGACATATACTACATGGATCCATCATGGTAAGTCTTTTGACTTTACAAGTATTAGTAATCATTTTAGTCAACCTACCATTGTGCTTGAGACTGAGGGTTTAGAGGATGACAGATGATATGTTAGGGGATCTGCTGCAGGCTACTACTGGAAATGCTTGTGTCATTGAGGGGTTAACACCACCTAATTATTCTAATCTAGCATACCATAATGAAAAATTGGCTCGCCTAATCCGTGATGCCAATTTGCCATTATACCCTGGGTGTGGAAACTTTTCAAAGCTATCATATTCATGAAGTTACTGAATAATAAACTGATCACCAACAGTAGTGACAAAGCCTTTGACACGCCAAAACACAACACCAAACTGCGACCAAGTGTAATCGCAGTCCGGGAATGCAGTAACAGGCAAGTTCAATTATCAACCCGGGGTCTAGATCTACTGCTTACTCCGTGATTGTCTATTATCTAGCAAAGTAATTCGAGTGATTGTTGTTTAAAGCAAAAGTAGTAAGAAAGCAGGAAATGGTTCGGTTTTCAAAAGCATGTAAGAGTCACTCGGGAATGAGTCCCCCTAGCCCCTTAGTTAGGTTCAATTGTAATTCCCCTGGGTTGATTTACTGTTGATTAGACTGCGGAAGATCCGACAGTAGCTTGGAATCTCTTAAGCTGACCAAGCCCTCTCAGTCTAACTTCCCGGCAGACGACTAGTCTTCACCGGGATAGAAAGCTGAAGCAATAAGCACAGAACTCCACTACTGGAATTGAATTCCAGTACAAAGCAGTAAACTGGCTAACTCTCGTATAGCCAATGTCCTACTATCGAATGAAGAGGCTCTAACAACCTAATCAGATTCTATCTATCTCAGGTTGCAGCAGAAATTGGGAAAAGCTAATCAGACTCCAATTAATTCAATAAACATGCATCATTCAATTAAAATCAAACAGTAATATCATCCCAAGTCATTACAATCAAATCCCTAACACAAGGAACTAGGGTTCTTCATACCCAAGTGAGAGAAAGGTTCTACTCCATAGAGAGAGAATGGAAAACAGAAATCAGAGTAGTCATACTCATAAAGATGAGGAAAATCTGCTCTGGGATGTCAATCTTCACTCCTAGGGACGCAATCTGGGCTTCAATGATGAGAAATCCACTCCAAAATAGCTCCTAGGGTTTGTTCTTCGCTCTTTCTCTCTCTAAAACTCTGTTTTTGCTCTAGAAACTCGAATACCTCTTCCTTGGCTCGAATCTGCCTCCAAAAACCCGACTCTGGGCGAATTACGGGCTGAATTACGGCCGTAATCACGTCCTGCCCGTATTTCGCACCAAAACGCACGTTTCAATTAAGCTGAAGGAGGAGGAGATACGCCCGTAATTTCCCAATTACCGCAGTAATTTGGGAATTACGGTCGTAATCCTTGGAGGTCTTGCCCGTAATTTTAGCACCGAGAGGAAATTCTGGGGAAAAGGCTTGGCAATTGATTTACGGGCATGCCCTGACCAATTACGGTCGTAATTTGGCAGGGGCTGCCCGTAATTCTGTCTGTGATTCGCCATCTGACCTCCAAATGACCCGAAACTTGCGCCTATGCACCTCTTTACTTGCTAGGACCTGAAATACGACAAAACAACACAACCTAGCGTAAAATAGGCCAAGGAACAATCAATTCGAGCCAAAATGGACAGGAAACCCGAGTGAAAACACGTGCAAATACGATGCTATCAGCCTTCAACCACACTTAATTGTTTGCTTGTCCCCAAGCAAACCAAGTACTACACAAGGTAAGCTCACATATTTCAATCAACAAACATTGAGGACAAGTCATAGAGTCACAGAACACGTGAATCATACTGGTTTTCAAACATCAACACATGAACAACTTCAATAGCAACCTGGACAACCACCACAAAGGACATTCGAGTGCAGCAAAATCGAGCAACGGAAGAGTTTCTCTTCTGTTCACCAACCAACCCAGACTTGACTCAACCACTCACTCAAAACAGTCAACTCATGCATCCAACTCAAGACATCAGAACAGAGACCGAGCAGTTTAGGTCCTCACCGGGGTACAAGAGTGTAAAGAATATGAAAATGAATCACTCACTCTCGACCAGTGGGGCCAGGACAATTTAATGCGAAAAATGCGCATGCTATTTCTCTCAATCCCTAACATCTCTTCACCATGATGGCAGCCTCTAAATACTAGAGTTCACATATAGGATGTCATCACTAACTAATCAGGAGGTCTTAGACACAGGTTCAAATGACTGGCTAGGGTCTTGGACATGGGGAAAAGGCCTTTTAGGTGGTGGAAGCATTCATAGCACAAGGTTCCACATTTCCAAACCCACACAATCACAGTAAAAAAAACCGGTATTTCCTTTCTGCTATTCTGCAATACTCAACATCTCAAGAGCACAAGAGCGAAGGAGGCATAAACATCAGCATTTCCAAGCCAGACTGCTAAGAAACACTACTTAATGGGCATTACTCAGATTTTTGGTAGTGGCTCTCTTTTGCTTTCAATTTTTCTTTGTTTTTCTTTCATTTTTCTTTTTATTTCTTAAGAGAGCCACCACTTCTGCACATAATTCAAACATCTGCCCAACTTTTAAGCACTACCTCCAACACTCACATAAACTTTAGCAGAAACAGCAGAGAATATGTAACAACCACTATGTGGAACCTTCTAAAAGATGCAACAAGGGTGATTTTTTTTTCGTTATAGACCAAAAGAAAGGATAACACACGGCTCAAAGGGGCTGACTAGGGGATATGACACATCAGGACAGTCAGTTTTGGGCGTGAGCTAATCCTATGCCCCCATCATCTTAGCTAATGACAACGTGAATGCTACACATCATGGAAGAGAGATCTATCGCACAAGAAAGAAACGAGCAGGCTCAAATCTCACATGGCTACCTATATGCTCTATCTCACATTCAGATACCCTGAACTAGATGCATAAACGACTGTCAAGAACAAGTGATCAGATCAAGTCACAGTTGGTAAGCAAACAGTTGAAAAACTGAACCCCTACATCGTTCTACTGCACATCTCAGCCCTCATCATAGGTTGTCCTAGTCACCAACAAGTTGTCATGCATTAATCCGAAAACCATTCATTTCATCAATCAAAACACAGTGCCAATATGATCAAACAGCAGTACTTGGAGCCCTCAAATCGTAAGATCCGGACGGCGGACTAGGCTCCAAGCACCCATAAATACGTTCCAATAAATACAAAGAACCCCCCCACACTTAGATGCGACAGTGTCCTCAATGGAGCAAAGGGAAGGGGAACGATGTTACCGTGAAACAGTGGTCAGGAACGTTGACTGGATGGCGGACCAGTCAAAAGCAGAGGACTGGACAAGGACCAGTCCGACGGGCACAGAGCTAGAACCAACAGAACACACACATTGGGTGAAATAAAACATAGTTCCAAGTCAACAATCCACACAATGGGAACAAGAAAAAAAACCAAACACAATCCGGAGTCTAAGTCTGGAAAGATAGACAAAAGCCAAGCCCCAACTCGATGGGCTGGCAAAACCAGATCACAGCTCGTCGCCTCCATCGCCACTTGGAGGCGGGTAGTAGTCTTCATGCCCCGGGGACGCCTCCCAAGGGTAGCTCACAGCAGCAGGATCCATGTTCCAGTAGCTCATCATGTAATGCTGAGCAGAAATGATGCGGCGGCGACCATCGCGCTCACGGTCGAGGCGGGCGTTGATGTGCTCCTGGCCAGCAAGGATCTGCTCGTTCTGGCGGGAAAGGGCTGCCAGCTGCTCGGCAATGTAGGTGGTGGGTGCCGCAGCAGACGGGCCGGCACCGGAAGTGGAGTCGCCAGGTGCAGAGGGGGTGGGCCGAGTCCTCGTCCGACGAGTGGTCCGACAGGCGGCAGCATCACTCGCCTCGGGTAGCTCCTCACCCTCCGGTGCACGAGGAACAGGGCGAGGAAGGCCCCGGATCCAGGTCACGGTCGCGCTCCAGTATCAGCTGGCGCCGGAGGGTCTCCCTGGAGAATGGCGTCGCCTCCTGGATGAGAGTGAACCCGGAGAGGTCGACGTTGTAGTATCGTGCCAGGGCAGTGACCACCGGCCCACACGCCAGGGGTCAATTACACCGAGAAGCCTTGGCAACGGTCCTGGCGATGAGAGAGGACAGGTGGAGGTTGTCCACCTCGTGGCTCATGGAGTGCAGGCAATGCAGGGTGCGGAGCTGAAGATGACTGGTGGAGCCCTCGCTGGGGGTGTAGGATTTCCCCAACAGCTGGTTGATGATGCGCCACTCTGGTCGCAGCTGTGTGGTCGTGGTGTGGCCCGGTGTGAAAACAGCTCCTGCAAACTCCGGGAGGCAGATCCTCTCGAAGAACTGTTGGTCCCGAAAGATGGGACTGTCGGGCTCCTCGATGGCCAGGTGACAGGGGAATGGTGGAAGGAGCCCCAGTGCCCGACCAAAGTCGTCATAGCTAAGGGAGTAGAACTCCCCTCCGAGTCGGAACTAGATGGCGTTGCTGTGCGCACCCGCGTGGGTCCGAAAATGCTCGAAGGTGGAGTAGAACTCCCAGAGGAGCTCCTGATAGACCGGCTCGGGAA